TTCAGAAGCTAACAGATAATCACACAGTCAATAAATTCTCCACATTTTATGGAACGAGAAGGCTCATTACCGTTTCCACAAGAGCCTTAACCTCAATGGAATGAATCCAATTCACATCCTCTTATAGTATTTCTGATCTGTTTTTCGTATTATCCTCTTAGATCTCCTAAGTTGTCTCTTCCTTTCAGGTTTTCCATCTAAAACTGTATAAAAATTTCTTGTTATCTATGAATGGGAAGTTCCCCTCCCATACATATTTCTTGGTATGAAATTATGTGTGCAAAATTATGAATCTCTTAACTAAGTAGTTCTCTCAAACTTTCTGATACTTCCATTTTCTTAGGTCCAAATGTTCTCTGCAGAGTGCTCTACCCACACTCTCAATTCATTTTCTTCCCTTAACGTGCAAGACAAAATTTACATTCATCTCTAACAAAAGGATAGAATTACAGTCCTATAAGAGAAGTATAATTTATGAAAAGCCTTCTTATTTAACTTACTTCATTCTCCTGTTTCTTCAGCTGTCTTAGGTCAAGATATTATCTTCAGTATAATGCCTTTGCTGAGACAGAGACAGACAAGTTTCCCAAGCAGGAAAAACGAACTTATTTACTTTCCATAGATCATTCAGAGGTCCAAGTTAAAGACAGATATATATCATAGCACAAATACAATACTCGTTCCTAATACAAAAATAATTTATAGTTAACTATAATACTACTGCAGAAATAATTATAAAAGGAAACATAACCTCAATTGCCTACATGTATTTATAACAGATGAGAATTGCTAGTTGAAGTAAATTTTTCTATGGAGTAGAAAGAGTGAGATAGGAGACGCTCTTTTGGTGCTGGCTTAAACTTCTTTATAACATGATTCAGACTCTTTATGGAGTGGGAAAAGATTATTGAATATTTAAACTGCAGTACAGTAAACTCCATTTTGATATTTACTGAGTTTTGTGTATCATCTACTATGATGATAATAATGAGAGCAAGAATTCGCTGGCTAGAGGAAAGAATATTAAATTTCTTAAAAAATACCCTACATAATGCTCTCCTGTTAGTGCCTGCCATTATTCTAATAATCTTCTTTTAGATGTAAAATACTTTTCTGCTGTCTGTTGAGTTTCCCCAGAAAAGAATTCCATACAACATAATCAAATGGGAGTAAGTAAGTTTATTGGTTTTAATCCATTTGTACAAGCTAGCAAAGACATCATTCATGGAAATACGTAAACAGACAATTTCTGGATGTGAAATAATATTAGTTTCATCAGCAAAGAGTATGGGTTTAGACCGAGAGTTAATGGTTGGCGGTAAATCATTTATATATATGAGGAAAAGCAGAAGACAACATATTGAAACATGACAAACTCCATGTTTTATAATGCCCCAATTTGAATATGTGCTATTATTTGAATATGATGATTTTATTTCTACTTGTTGCCTTCTGTCATGAAGCTACAATATAAATCACTGACCAGCTATATTTCACATTCTGTAAAAAAGGTAGTTTTGGCAGTAATAATTCATGATTTACACAATAAAATGCTTTAAAAATATCACAAGATATTCCACAACCATGCATTTTATTATTAAGAGCACTTAAGATTTCACCTTTATAATTGAAAATGGCTTTATCAGTTGGGACACTTTACCAAAATCTAAATTGTTTACCTGAAAGGACATTGTTTGAGTTTAAAAACTCACTTTCTTTCTTACACATGACCTTCTAAAATATTTTGGTACTTGTGGGTAATCGGGACACATCGCTTTAAAAATAGGTTAGGTTAGGTTAATGTGTGTGGATAAATGACATATACTCGAAAGTTATTATATTTTATTTCAATAAATGACAACTAACCTAACCTATTTTTAAAGCGATGTGTCCTGATAACCCACAAGTACCAATATTTTAGAGAAAGATGTTTGTAATGAAATTGGTTTGTACTTAGATGAACACGATTTTTCACATTTTTTATATACAGGCTTAACTTCTGAATATTTAAGTCATTCTGGTAAAACTCCAACTGCCACTGATTGGCTGCAAAGATAACTTAAAGGAACACCAACAGTCTGCACGTTTGAGTAATGTTTTAGATATTTCATCGCAACTATATGAATTTTTTGATTTGAGAGAATTTATCATGCTTTTAATTTCATTTACTGTTGTGGGCATAACATTTATGTTTGTATAGATTTTAGGGATTGCTTGAGTGAGGTACTTTGTTGCATCTTCTGTTGTCAAGGCTGTAGTGTAATTGTTCATTCTTTCTATAACTGTTAAGAAGAAAGTATTGAAATGATTTGCTAAGAGTTAAGAATTTTTTATTGCATTATCGTTTATCTTTATTGATAGGGTCACTTCTTGTGTAGAATATTTCCGTTTCCATTTTAACTATTTTCTAGATTGATTTTATTTTATTGGCTCTAGTATCTATTTTTGTAATGCATACATTTAGCCTCTTTAATGACTTGAGTATCTTGCAATATCTCCTTTAGTGAATTTTCATTACTTGCTTGTTACTAGATTGGCAATTTAGGTTAAGATCTCGTTTATGCTTGCAAGACGTTTTGATGCCTTTAGTAATCCACTCATTTTGAGGTATCCTTTCACTGTTTTGGTGGGGAAGCATGGTTACAATTTTTTAAAGATGATATTTAACAATATGTTGAATTTTTAATCTACGTCATGGCTGTTTAATACTGAGTCCCAGTTTTAATTACTTAAATGTGTTATAACTTCTTGTAGTGTCTTCAAAAATAGGTCTCATTAATTTCCTGTAATTATAATAATTGGAGATTGATCGTATATTATAACTAGAAGTTGTTGACCATTTGGTTTTAGAGATTTTAATTTTATTAATTGGTGGAGGGCTTTGGTTATTTTGGTGATGAACCTTCACATTCCAAAAGTTTATTAGTTTGTTAGAAGTTGTGCATCATGATCAGAAAGCCCATTTGTTTTCAGTTTAATAGAAATATGGTCTTTCCTGAAACTCTCTACAAAAAACACTATCAATGAGTGTACTGCAGTAATTTTGAATTCTTGTGGGAAAATGAACTATCAACATTAGATTGAAAGATGCTAGTCGGGAGTTTAGACATTGTTTGTGGTAACATTAAGTAAGATAATTAATATTAATGTTGCCACAAATGACAAATTGTGCTGTAGGTTTATAAACTTAATTTCTAATGCTTTCTAACTTTTTTAAAGCGGCCCATCCACGTACGAGTCTGAATCGGCGAGCTTGACTCGTGAGCCGGGTTCGGATATATTTCACCACACTTGCATAGCAGACTCGGCTCAGACACCCCACCCACAAATGAGTTCGGCTCAATGGAACCTGAGCCGAGCCGAACTCGCAAGCCAGACTCATACGTGGATGGGTTGCTTTAGAAAAGTTCAGAATCACCCGTGGAAGCTCTGTATATAGTTAGGTCAGGCATATAAGTTGGAGTGTTTAGATTCCAATTGTGTATCACATCATTCTGTGTCTTGTTCTTTGCAGTGACACTGTATATTAAACCGATTAATTTTTAGATTCTTTTCGACACAAATACGTACACCTCCTTTTGTCATATTTTGTCTGCAGTAATTAGCTCCTAAAGTATAATTTTAAAGATTGACCTGTAAGATCTCTGGTGTTTTCATATGGTGTTCAGTTAATCACAGAATGCAGGGTATGTATACATTATTTATTAACACCGATAGTTTATCAATTTTGTACGAAAACTCTCTTATGTTCTGATGGTATACCACAAAACTGTTATTCTGAATTTAAAACTGTATTATTTGCATTGATCTTTCAGGGTTTTAGTGATAGAGTTAGGGTTGTAGGCCTATATAATTGTATTTTAATATGTAAATGTTATAAAAATACAAAATACTCTGGACTGAATAGTAGTATCTTCTTGGGTTTTATCATATTTGAATATCATATCTAGGTTACTATTTGCTGCTGTTGATATCAGCAAATATTACATTGTGATTCTCCTATATTCAAAATGATACACATTAAAGTTCTCTTCTATGTGCTTGTATAAACCATTGCAATTCTATGTGTGCATAGAATACTGAAATGCTTTACCAGGTTCAGGACAATTTTTTATTTCAGTTTTACCCGATACCCAGTGGCAAAATTATGATCGGGCTAGTAGTGTGCTGCCAGACCACTAAAATTTGAGGAAAGTAAAGGAAATGATTATGATTTCAATTATTCACCATTTTACAGGGTATATACTTCTATGTACCTGAGGCAAACTTTGCCCCTGAGGTATGTAGTGCAGCAGCTATTTATAAAATATTTTGTTTTTTAATTATTATTGAAATACCTTGACATTGTACTGCGACTGTTGGAGGGGGGCCTGACTTCTAGACCATGATTCACCACTGCTGGTATAAAGAGTGCAGTTAATATGATCTGAGCTGAGAATGATGCCGGCTGTCTTCTGGGTTGTAACGTCATGTAGTATGGTAGAAGTTTACCAACATTTCTGAGGTCCTTGCTGCCTCCATCATCACTTCTACCAGACTACACGGCACAACCATCCAGAAGACACCCATTTTCACTCGCCGCCATGAAAACCTCAAATCCTACATAAACATAACGTTGCCGTTCTTAGTTCAGCATTGTGCCACGTTAACATATCGGACAGTGCGGGTGTAGTTTCATGCACTGTGACCCCAACACTAGATGGAGGTGAGCGATCAGTTTCTTCACTCCCTGGCTGCTTTGGCAGGCCACAGGGTGAGGCTGTTCATACTATATCTAAAATTCTCACCACTGGTTCACAAGTTCCTAGACTTACGTGGTCATTATACTATAACTTACACTTCTTACAAAATAAAGAAAACGTATCCCAATCGAATAAGAACAAAAGACCTTTCAGATACTAACAATTTCAGGATCTTCTCTCAACCACCACAGAATATCTGAGTCATATGCAGTCTTCTCCACCTGTAAGTCACAGTGAAAAGGTTAATAAAAACACAACTGAAAAGGTTATTCTTTATTTAATATTTAGATTTCACATACAAATCACATAACCTCTGAACACAAAGAAACAAATGTATGTTTAAGATTATCTTATACAGAGTAAGTCAAAAGTAGTTGCGCACCTTTGGAGAACTGTAACCGTGTTACCTGCAGCCAAAATGCGCTGATATCAGCAGATCTGTGGAGCATAACCTCAAGTTTCATTGTGGAAAACAAAATGGAGACTTAAAGTGGCACTCAAAGAGCACAACGTGTGTTCTGGTTCGAACAAACGAATCCTCTCCCATAATTCTCTAAGATCGTTGGGTAAGGGTGGGTGGTAAATGTGTTCCTTAATGTATCCCCACAGGAAAAATCTGCTGGTGAGAGATCCAGTGAATGAGGTGGCCAAGCGATTGGACCTGCTCGCCCAATCCACCGACCTGGGAAGTAGAGATCCGAACATGCTCCGACATCTGTATGGAAGTGAGGTGGTGCTCTTTCTGTGTCACTATAAGTCTCCATTTTGTTTTCCACAATTCATAAGCGCTCTCAGCGGCAATGTGAAGAACTACAACAAACAAATGAAACTTGAGATCACGCTCTACAGACATCTGCTGACATCAGCACATTTTGGCTGCAGGTAACACGGTTACAGTTCTTCATTGGTATGCAGCTACTTTTGACTTACCTGTATGTACAAAGTAAAGAATTTTGTAAAAGAATTAAATAACTGTGAGAAACACCTCATTGAATTAGGCTTTACTAGCTATCTTATATTATGATACAAAAGTTCCCTTCACACCGAACACTCATTAATTTCTAACGGTGAGGCCAACTGGTAAGGAACTAAAGGTTAAACACGCTGGCCTGAACCCTCTTAAATTGCAGCATGATATGGAAGTGGTATACAGTCCACATTACATGTAGGTATCAAATTCTTTATTGAATACAAGGATCCTTGACAATAATTTTATGTTGCTCCAAACAGCAAATTGAGCAGGTGGCTCAGTCTCGGCGATTACGCTTCTGCTGGTCCTGCAAACAGAGAAATATACCATTATAGCAATCTCCGTACAGATATGGCATGACGCAAGACAGGAACGGTCAACCAATTTACAAAATTCTACACCTGTAAACAACATTTATACATCATATCAATATGATACAGTATTTTAAAATAAACAGATCACAGAGAAGCCAATATTTTGTTATTCCATTCAAACCAATAATCCCATACCCAATGTGAAGCTTATACATTTTCAACACCTAGTGATTTTAATTTTTGCTTAGCAAAGCACAGATCAGCAACTTCAAATAACATATGATACCAAACACTGTAGGACGCCATAGTAGCACACGTGGCCTACTTTAAGATTATACCTCAGCATATGCATGGAGAGACTAAGAAAAACTACTATAATTTAGGGTAGCCAACATGATTTTGTATTAGTCAATTGTTAAGTTATTACAATGTCCTTTCGTACAAACGCCAAACAAACAGAATACCAATCCATGGCAAACCCACGTTTTGTCAGTCAATCATTTAAAAAAGGTTTAGAATTACTGATAAAACACAATTTCAGTCACTTCAGAATCTAAGTATAATATTAGTTGCCTTAATCTTTGAAAATCAGAATACATGCTTTTTTTGGTTAAAAACAATTTTAATCACAGCGTATGGACTTTTGAATGCAGAACATGTCACAACTATGAGGATAAATGAAACTCGATACCCCACTGGACATATTTGCATACTGTCTTCAACTTTCAGCAGATCCAAGTACGTATGAATTAAACTAAGAGAGCTTAAAATGAAGGCTTAATAAAATTTAAAAGAAGCCAAATGCCTGCTACAGATCTATAGAACAGTTATTACACAATAAAAGTAACAAATGAAAATGTCCATCCATATGACACGTACATTTACTAATATATTATTTGTATAACTGCACACAAGCAACGAGTAATGGAGAAAACTGCATGAATCTGTCCGCAAGTTTTATTCCTAAAATACTTAATGGACTTCATTTTGTATTGAGGTGGTACTTTAAAGCTGACAGAAAAATTTCATTTTAGTTCGTATCACTTACATATAACCACGAACTGACTAACTAGATGGCTTACCGAACCTGAAGGTTCATCACCGAATTACCCAAAGCCCTCCACCGGACCCTGTCCTGGGCCAACAAAATCCAGTTTCCTTCAACTCCTATCTCCCACAGATCCCGCCTGACATTATCCTCCCATCTACGTCTAGGTCTACCCAGCGGTCTCTTCCCTTCAGGTTTCCCAACCAATACCCGGTGCACACCTCTTGTCCCATCCATGCGCGCTACATGCCCAGCCCATCTCATTCTTCTTGACTTAATCACCCTGACAATATTGAGGGAGCAGTACAGATTTTTAAGCTCATCATTATGCAGTTTTCTCCAGACCCCATCGTCTTCTCTCCTAGGCCCAAATATCCTGAACACCCTATTCTTAAACACCTGCAATCTGTGTTCCTCCCTCTGAGTGAGAGACCATGTTTCGCACCCATACAAAACAATGGGCAGAATTATTGTTTTGTATACTTTAATTCTCAGGTTCTTAGAAATCAGATGGGAAGACAAAATATACATATAACCACTACTTTGAAATATTACTTTCTCTAAAATGGCCAACAATAAAAAATGTGTACATGACATAAAATACAGATGTTATGAAGATCTACAACTTTTATTTCAAACACTTCTCCAAATCATTTATGACTAAGTACTCTAAAGAGCTTTGTAATAGATTTGTATCTGAAACTTCTGGAATGAGCTATCAGCATTCATTTAATTTTTTGTCACTAGAGAAAATTCACAGTTACAGTACAGAAGAAAGATTATGGCAGATATGAAAAATAAATCAAGTTAAAAATGGCATGATGCTGAACAATGGCAACAACATTACTGCACTGTAAAACATCACCTATTTTGAAATAAAATATAAACTGACCAACTCATAATAATGTGAAAAAGTTTTGAGATCAACCTTTGTACTTAATTGTATGTACAGAGACTGTGTTGATAAGCCTGAAACCCAATTACGACATGAAAACAAGTCATAGAAAAGCACAATCTAATTCATCGATTTATGAATACTATGTAAATTAGCATACAGAGTGATAACACACGCTTCAAACCATCAAAGTTCACAGAGTCATTTTTCTCTTATCCTCATATCTTGCAAACATAAGCTATATATCTGATTACAGCCTTCTCTTTTAAACAGTAAACAACTAGTTGGCTTAATAAAGGAAACAGGAGGAAGCTCTTAGCTTTCATTTTAAAATAATAATAATAATAATTCAATTTATTTATTTAAGTGCTTGACAACAGCAAAATAAGGCCAATAACAGCCAAGCACTAAGCCAGAGTACAGGATAAAATATAATAAATAGTAATAAAAACAACATACAAAAAACATATAAAGCAACTACAAGGTCCTAAACTAACTAGATGGCTTACCGAACCTGAAGGTTCATCACTGAATTAACCAAAGCCCTCCACCGGACCCTGTCCTGGGCCAACAAAATCCAGTCTCCTTCAACTCCTATCTCCCATCTACGTCTAGGTCTCCCCAGCGGTCTCTTCCCCTCAGGGTTCCCAACCAATACCTGGTGCACACCTCTTGTCTTATCCATGCGTGCTACATGCCCCGCCCATCTAATTCTTCTCCTGCAATCTGTGTTCCTCCCTCTGAGTGAGAGACCATGTTTCGCACCCATACAAAACAACAGGCAAGATTATTGTTTTGTATACTTTAATTTTCAGGTTCTTAGAAATCAGACGGGAAGACAAAATATTTTGAACTGAGAAGTAGCCAGCATTTCCAGAATTTAATCTCCTCCTAACTTCCTCACAAGTATCATTTTGATTTGTTTTTGTTGTTCCCAGATATTTGAACTTTGTAACCCTTTCAAAGGACTTATTACCTACTCTAAGATAATTTTGCCCGCCTGTCTGCTGACGACGAGATACGAGAATTTACTTCTAGCCCCACCTGTCTACTAGCCTCTAGTAACACTTCTGCTTTCCTCTTTATTGTATTTATATCGTCCCCCAATAAATTAACATCATCAGACGATGCCAATAGCTGATGCGTCCCATTCAATTGCAAACCCTCCTGCCTATCTTGGACTTTCCTGACGGCATATTCTAGCACAAAGTTAAAGAGCAAGGGAGACAAAGCATCTCCTTGTTTTAGACCATTTTTGATGAAGAATGATTCAGATACATATTTACATACTTGAATTTTGCTACAAGTTTCATTTAAGCACATTTTTATTACACTCATTAGCTTCTTTTGTATACCAAACTCCAATACAATTTGAATACACTTTAATACAGTTACAAAAAACAAAGAATATTTTTGATAAAACCCTCACATAAATGACTTACAATGTTTGGGCACTGATCATGTGGTATGGTTACCATTTTAATAATAAAATAAAAATGTAACAATATCTGCCAAAATCACAGTTTTAAGATGTCAAAAAGGACAGGAGCTATAACCCCCCACCCAATTGTCCTCTGTATCTGAAAGCACGCCATGTTTCGCTTTGTGGCAAAAAGTAGTTCATGTAACAGTTATTTGTATGAAAATTTACCAAATACAATTTACAATAAAGCTAACTTTCTTAAACTGGTAAACACAAAATTTCATTGCGAAATATATCAACTAATATTTACATCACCGCAGGATTATTTGTTATGAATGTGAGCTCTGTCAAAGCCGAACTCAATACTGCAGTTAATACTGCGTACCTTTGCAGTACTGAGATCAAAATTTGTACAACTTTTGCTTATGAGATCCAATCTTGGTCATTGCAGGATACAGAAAACCATGTTCCAGGTCCACATGGATAAGAAAACTACATTTTGAAGTCATTGTGTTCTTCACAACATTTGTTGATCACACCCAGCCACCACTTTGGGTCATGGACACAGGCAACATATTTACCAATCTCTCTTTTTTTAAGGGGATCTCAACCGCAGTTTCTTTAAAGGGAACATCTACTGATATGCTGACCACCGTATACGCAGCACCACTTGACACGAACTGGGTTCAAACTTTCATTTGATTGGTTCCACTCAGAATAAAACAAGAAAGCTCTTTGGTATCTGGTACCGAAAAGATGAAGTGTTGCTAGAGTACTGCATGATGTAACAGTGGCCACATAATGCACGACGCAAAACACAAAGTGAAATTGCACCACTTACTTAGAGGTTGCCAAAAAGCTAACATAACCTCTAAACTCGCAGATCTGAACAGATAGTATTTAGCTGTCAGAAATATTCATTTCAGTCCCGTGTACTATTAAAAAGAAGTTTTGTTTACATATACTCATATTAAAAACAACCCCCTAAAAGTAGAGCTACAGTTTGTCAACATCAAACCCCAAATTGTGAACATGGGTATATAAGTAAATCGGGTAGCACATAAAAAGTATAAATACAAATAAATAACACCAAGAGATTAGTTTCAGTTATTTAAAGCAGTGGTATTCAACCTTTTTTGTTCGCGCAACCCCCAGATATAATTTCTCTTCAACTTTGTACCCCCAAAGTTGTTGGTGTATAATTCAAGTTATACATAGTATATAATCTACATATAAAATAAATTACATTACTGATTATTCATTGTTTATCATAAAATAATATATATTTTTTTTAAATTTCACGTACCCCCTAAGATGTTTTCGCGTACCCCAGGTTGAATACCACTGATTTAAAGGGTGTTCAGCCCATTTTGACACACAAGCTTGCAGCTGCCATAATTATGTCAGTGATCGGTAAATGTTGAATAAGCCGAAAGGCACATTTTCAATGTCGTACCTGTAGAACTAAATTTGCGCCACAAAACAAATCTTAGTGCACTACAGTATAATATAAATGGGAAAAAAATTCAACTTTACAGTTCATCTCCCTTTAGATATAGGACACCCTAAAAAATGTAATTTTGGTAAATATCAATATAAAATTATTATCAGTAAAACAAGGACACCACCACAACCTAATAATATGTGAGGATTTTTACCACAAAAAGTATTTTTTGGATCATGCTTTTAGTAAAAATATGCGCCAAAACTGTGTTGAAATTGCTGTTGGTGACACTGAACTTTAACCCCATACAATCTATCAGCTTTTATGTTAGACAGCTAATGCACAAGACAATGTATAGGGTTAGTCTTTAAATAAAACAATTATAATGCATCCAGTAATTAGTAAAACTTACCTTTTGAGTAAGGATGATGACAAGACGTTTGAAAATGCCAACAAAATCAATGAAGAGGTCCAACGAATGGACGATAAAATCTTTATCGCCACGCATGCGTTTCTCGATGATAAGCTGAGTATCATAGAGCACAAAACCGCACATAAGTAGCAATCCCAGATACAGGTGGGCCTGGAATATCAGGTATGAGCCAAAGAACAAATTTCCTATGGACAGGAGCAGCAAAGCACTCAGAAGAGTCATAAGTGTACCACCAAGATACAACCACCTTCCCCTCTTTGCGAAAAGTGCTGACAAGCTGAACGAGATGAAGATTACTGCTGTGCCAAGCAATGCCGTCATAATAATGCTTGGATTGATATCAATCACTGTGTCAAGAAGTGGGCCCATTCCCAAACCTGAAAAAAAAAAAAATATCAACATTGTAACTCACCGCTGTGAGAACCTCAAGTCTTACATGGTATATACCTGTTATATTTTTAAGTACTGAGACAAGGAGTAATGGAAATATAAATATTATACAAAAGTCAAAATCTAGCAATTTAAATATAAGTGAAGCATATGTAATAGCATCAAATGCTTGTAATTTTCTCATACTAGAGCAGAGCGCTCCTTTCGGAGCTCCTCTGGGGGTTGGTTTCGTTTTAAAATCTTGAGTAAGAAACTAAACCAACCCCCATTCGGGGGGTTGGTTTAGTGTCTTACTCAAGTAATGTGTTTGCTCAGCATTGTGATTGTACAACAATGCCGAGTAAACAAATATAACGTAACATTGCTTGGTGATGTAATTTTTTGACGACAATGGGGAATCAGAAGAAGGCAACGGCAAACCACTTCTGGATCATCTGCCAAGAACGTATATGAACAGGTCCCAGTCCAAGAAAAGGATGGAAGGATCCTGTTCATATGGACCTGTCGTCAGACAAAACACTAAATAAAAAATAAAAATAACTAACAATCAAACAACTAAACAAATAAACAAACCAACCATCCAAAGTTCAAGTACTTATAATTAAGATTTCAGTAAAACCCCATTTCAGTGCCACACTTTGTCCACCATCAACCCAAGTGGGGATGGCAGTGAATTAAATTTTGTATTATATTTGGGTAATTTTTAATTACTAATATATTAAAATGCCATACAGTATGCAGAGGTCCTGCGCCATAGGCGCGCGGTCACAGTCATCATGCTTCGGACCGGTGATACGGAATGCGCGCTGGTTCGAGTCTCGGGGGAGAAGAAATTTTCTCATGAGATTTCGACCAGTGTATGGGACCGGTGCCAACCCAGCATCGTGAGGAAATTGGGGAGCTACAATGGGTAGTGTAATCCGGTCATGGAAACTAGCAATAGCTGGGGGCTTGTCGTGCTGACCACACGTCACCCTATATCTGGTTGGATGATTGTTCACCTCTGCTTAGGCATGTGAACGTGAGGCCAGCAGTCAAGCTAGTCGGCTTTGGCTCTCTGGAGCTGTTACGCCATGGATTTAATTTAATTTAACAGTATGCAGAGTACTGCAGTTGGGATCTTGAGGGTAAAATAAATAGCTTCTAATCTACAAAAATATGCATATGGCTCATTTCTGGACATAACTTTAGAATTTATTTTGCCAAAATGAATGGCACTTTGTTTGCAGTGGGGGATGAACTGCATGTAGAGTATAAACTGGAACACCTACAAATTCCTTCAAGTTATCTGAAATATTGTAAACTAACCAACCTGGTAGCAGAACCTGAATATTCAACATAGCTAATACTAAAGTCAGCCACTGGACATGATTTTACAGAAAACTTTTACAATTGTATATGGTACAATTATTTTATGATTTTAATTATGCAAAATTTAAATTTTGATTTTTATATGCATTATGATATGCTCTCACATAATAGTAACAGATCTGGAAAAATAAGTTTACTGCTGCCAGGATGATGACAATGATAGATGAAATGGTAAGTAAAGTAAAGTTTGTCCCACTATACCTCTCTTCCTTGACCTCGGCACTAGATGGGGGTGAGTGGTCATCATCACGCCCCGGCCGGCTTTACCCCCGGGGAAAGGACCCTGGTACCCATTGTAGAGGAGGCTGGGTGGGCCCCAGAGCCAGTCTGGATGCAGAGGCTAGAGGAAAAATCCTCTGCCCCCGTCGGGGATCGAACCCCGATCGTCCAGCCCGTAGCTAGTCACTATACTGACTGAGCTATCCCGGCTCATGATAGATGAACTGGTAAATCACTTAACCTTCCCCTATCCTAACCGATGTACTGCCCCATACCACCACACTCAGAGAAACTGTTACAACCATGATTACACAAAAATATTGAAAAATCATGAAACCAAGAAACCATCTTTATAAGAGCTTAAAAAATAGTGAAGAAGGCTGTCTTCTGGGTTGTAGGACCATATAGTCTGGTAGAAGTTTGCCAATGTTCCAGTCAGAGATCTTTCCTGCCTCCATCATCAGGGCAACAAGTACGCCACGTGTGGACATCTGAAATCCTGGTAAATTTCTACTAGACTACAACCCAGAAGTCAGCCATCTTCATACACACTCCCATGAAACTAAAATCCTATCTAAAAAACAAAAAGTAAAGTAACCATTCCTACTACATGCTAAGTAGGTCATTTGAGGGGAGTGGAGGTATAGCTCCTACTCATTCTTGACCTCGGCACTAGACAAGGATGAGTGGTCAGCGTCACACCCTGGCTGTGCTTTACCCCCAGCAAAGGACACTGGTACCCATTAAATAGGAGGCCGGGTGGGCCCCAGAGCCGGTCAGGACGCAGAGGGTAGTGGAAAATCCTCTGCCCCCGTCAGGGATCAAACCCGTCGTCCAGCCCTAGCTAGTGATGATACTTACTGAGCTATCCCAGCTCTATCTAAACAATGAACTTACAAAATAATGAAGTCAATGAAAAATTAAATATGAACCGATATAAAGCTTACCCAACAAACTATCCTAAAGTAAAAATATATGTGACATCAATCCAGGAGACTGTACATCACATAACATGCTTACAAGGGATATCAAACCTTAAATTTGGCCCACAAATCATACTACAGACTTCTCACAAGCTTGAAAATAAATCTCCATACATCAAACTGAATCTCCTACAGATAGCAAAGAACCATAACAGTATATCAGCATGACACCATAAAAATATCACCTATCCATACAGGTAACCATATTACTTAAATAAGGCAAATTATGCACCTGTAAAGAAGGAAATTCCCAGGAGGTACCCCAATCGCAGTCGAGTATTCTTGCCATTGTCAGGTGTAGATAAGAGGGCTATAAGAAATCCCACTGATCCAAGCAATGTTAGCAGGCCGGCGGAAAGCAACTCGGTGTAAATATGAACGTATGCTCCCACACCAGCAGATACTGCAGACAGTGTCAGGCTAGCATATACATTCTTCAAATGTTGTCTCACTGGCTCCTCCCTACAAATAATTACAGATGTTTATACAATAATTCACACATAAACTGTTCACTTACATGTCCCTCCTTAAGTTCAATATGTTTAACGAACTACATAAAACCAGTTACTTCTATTAAATACATACGCAGTTTATAATGTTGTCCGTTACGTGTTAGAAGCAACCTACTTTTAGCCAACTTCAGGATCATACTTACAGTCTGGAATTGAAGGAATGCAAGAAACGATTCATTCCTGATGCCATTTTGTAGTGGAAATACAACTCTACTATAACGCAGTCGCAAAGTTAACACACTGATGCTCCAAAAACAACTACACCACCGTGACTTCAGACTTTTGCACGTACAAGCCTTCGTTTAGAACACGTCAGTACTGATAATTACGTCACAATATGGGATTTTTTACACGGAGCATGCGCAGCTCGAATTGAAACAATTACGACCAATGAGCGTAATTCTGTGTGAACAGATGTAACCACAACTATTCTGGAAACAGCTAGATCACGGGACAAATTACATCCACTCCCTTCCGACATCTCGGCGTCATATTTAAATCACACAGATTTTCAATTAAGGGGCCCCTACGCAATAATAATTTAATAATAAATACTGTACAATTTCGTAGCCGCTACATAAAGACGTGTAATCCATATCAACAATGTGTAAATATGGACCGACAACAGTGGTCAGCTTGCGTTCATTGTTGTTACCTAAAAAACATCATGTTTACTCACCATTGTTGTGTTACATTACTGCCGCCAACAACTGCTGCTATTAAGGAAAAGGAGGTGGATAAAAAGTACTTCATGATGCTATATATGTTTAGCCATGAGAATTTGTTAAAGAAATTAGAAATAGATGAACCATGAGATTATACACATTTATTTCACAGTTTCAACTTATATAAACCCTTCAACGAAAAAGGGGACACCATAAAAAACACCAAATTCCACTTAAAAAACTTTCTGCCATTCTAAACTTGTTGGTTATTAGACATGCATCTGAAGATATGAAATTTACAGCTACACCTCAGCAAAATAGTGCTTCATACATGCAAAGCCATTATATGGGCATTGGAAGAAAATATTAGAGCAATAAATTCAACCGTCATAAAACTGGAAAACTACAATACCAGTCAATAAATTCACTCTTGAATTCCACTGTTCTTGATGTGCTTGCCATAATTACAGAACCAAAACTGAAGAGATATTGCACAATATTCATACTGGACAGTGCAATAAAAGCTGATGCAAGCCTGTATGCACATTACTCAATGTTTCTTCAGTCATTATGCACTGTCAATTATAACTGGAAAAATCCAATATTGTGCAATTAATATTGCATATGTAGGTGCCCCTTAAGGCAAAATTTACTGGAAACAAGTGCTTTAAGATAGTAAATCATTTATATGTGGAAAGGAAAAGAGACCAGTGGTTTAGGGTTAAACGTGCCAACAATTTTCTTGTTAGACCTCATTCGCCTTAAAACTGTGCAGAAAAGTAGACTAACAGGTGTTTTAATTATTATTGCTTTATTAGCATGAATTAGAATTCACTGCTTCCAGGATTCCTTCTTTCCTAACAAGTGTTTATCCTGGAAAAAAGAAAACCCAATCAACCAATTGGGGTAAATATTGTTGTAGCTTTTTGAACTGAATGCTGTGTTTAAAGATGTTACTGATATGGAAATATGGTAAATGGTGACAAATTAAATGTATTAGATTCTCGAAGATAGAAAGCACTGTAAGCACGTTATGAAGCATTATTAACTGGTAACTACCAGATAGAATTTGAGAACCCATTCCTAGTTACAGCAATCAAGGTCTAAAATAAATGAAGGTAAAACTGATGAAGACCAGCAGTCATACAAGTAAAGATAAAAAGAAACATGGAGATCAGATATTTCATAACTGGTAGTTGAAGGCTGACCATTAGCATGGTTAGGAAAGGACAACTTACTTTCCCAATGGTTATGTACCATACTCTTACTGGAGTAGGAAAGAAACAATCATAGTGAGGACTGTGGTCTTCGAGATTGTGATGATACACAGTTTTGTAGGTGGTAACCAATGTCATGGGGGAAACAGATAATTTATTTAATCTGTACACACACATACACACTGTACATTTTATATAATATTGGTATGTAACAAGTACTTACTTACTTCATGGATCTGAGTCCTTCCTGAAAAGCCAACAGTCGCTTCAGCCACTCAAGAAGTTCCCAACATTTTACGGAACCCAAAGGGTCATTACCATTTTCACAAGAGCCCACCACTGGTCTCTATCCCAAGCTAGATGAATTCTGTTCATACCACCCCATCCTATTTGCCTACTATCCATTTTAATATTATCCTCCCTTCCAGTATATAACAAGCAGCTTAACAAATATACAAAATAATCTTAAATGTGCGTGATGCTTCTGAGTTCTCTTCGCAACCATAAAATTATTAATAAATTTACAACATAGGAACAACTACATTACATCATAATTATACAGGAATTATCTTGAGGTGAACATACTAACAAAGGAAGACAGCTGTCTTCTGGGTTGTAGCCTCCATCATCAGGGTGTTCACCCTAATGATGGAGGCAGCAAGGACCTCTGAAATACTGGTAAACTTCTACCAGTCCACATGGAGCTACAAACCACAAGACAGCCACCTCAGGGTGAACTATCTAAGCATATTTTGATTTTGGATGACTAGCATTTTCATGCTTATGTACTTCCCATAGTTCATGATAAACACTAATGTTTGAGTTTTATTTGACAAATTTCCACACTTTCATACACTTCACCAATTCTGTTACTCTTCACAATTTCCTTTATTATTTAAAGTGTTCTTGTGTTTGGTATTATCCTCACTATTATACATATGTCATAGCTTAAGCAGTCACCGACTTCTTACTGCAGAGGCCAGGGTTCACACCCAGTTCAGCCCATGTTGGATTTGTGATGTTCAAAGTGACACTGGGACATGTCTTTCTCTCCAAGTTCTTCAGTTTTCCCTTGTCAATATCATTCCACCATCGTCCCATATTTACTCACGTATCGTCTGGCGGCTAGACAGCAGCAGCAGCAGTTCTACAAAGACAATGTCTTCCTCCCCCCCTTACAACAATACATAACAAATAAATAAATATTTCCACATACTTAACCAATGTGCCATTAACTCTTATTCTGACATTTGTGTCTGAGTTCCTCATAGTCACTGTCTTCTTCATATACATTCTCAGGAATATTCAAATCTATACATCCTTAATTCATAAATACTTCAGAAACATCAATACTGGGAGTTGTACATAAGTATTGTATTACTACAACAGTTACACACTTATCCTTCTTCCATTCTGACGGAATGGTTACTACATTCTTCTTCTTCTATGGCTCTCTGGTCCGTATTTGGTCCATGGCCGCCTCAATTCTCCTCTTCCATTCTTTCCTATCCTCCGCTGCTCTGTAAGGTCCGTCTGTTGGAGGCTTTGATTGAGGTTTCGAAACATCTTCCTTTTTTACGGTGCAAGGTTGTTAGCCTTGCGACCAACCCCCCAACCTGGAGGACCAGGGTACCTGTCTTAGTCTGACCTTTCCCCCTTGACCAATCTGGCTAGGAAGGCCCTACCAGTAGCTATGCTATGGAAATATCAAACCTGGTCTAAGAAATGAAAATATGTTCTGAACTAAATCAGGCTGTGCATAGATCTGTAACAAACTGTCAGAGACCTAATAATTTACAACTACACAAATCATGCAAGACCATGCAGATAAGAACTGCTATGAAGATTTGAATAAAAAATGTGATTACAAAATAACTTAAAAACATTCATACTGTAGGCAGGACTGGAACCTATAACCTTAAAAATAAGATAAATATGACCAGGCGATCAATCTAATCATCACCACAATTAATATTATACAAATCAGCCCAAAATGTTTATTTTCTTCGAAACCTAATTTAGATTTTCAATATATCAGTCGCAGCAATTAATTCATCATAATAAATGTTTAATAGATCAACTACTGTTTAAAAAAATAAACAAAAAAGCATTATTAGTTCTGTTACAACAAGCAGGTAAACATGTTAAATGCACATGTTATAGCTCAGTCTATTTCCTCAATAAGATCAGCTTAAATAATAAAACTCTACAAGATATCAGCATTGACATTAGCTAGCAGATACCAAGACGACAGTGCCAGATTTCTCTGTCAGATTTTCACCTCTTTGGGGTCATGAAATCTTAGCTGAAGGGGTGTCGTTTCAGTAGCATCGACAAGGTGAAACTGTAATGACGGTGCTCTGAAGAGCATCCCCGAAAATAATTTCCAGTGGTGCTTCCAAGAACTATACAGCCAATGACAAGAGCACGCAGCTGCCCAAGAACGATACTTTGAGGATAATGTCGTGTAATCTTAAATCTGGATCATCATTTGACTATAAAAAGGCCACTATAAGAATTTCCTGAACCATGTCATACATAACAATCACTACTAACATTTTACTCCTTCCAAATGCTGTAAAATTAAGATGACAACGTTAACAGAAATTAAGTTTACACAGAGAACAAAACCTAATCTTCATGATGGTCGTCATACTGCTGCTGGCCTGCATTCATCTGACTTTTCCTAGGACACACTTGCAATTCTCGCTTCATTAAAATACTTGACAGGTATTGCGACAGTGGGCTATTTTCTGAACTACTTTGCAACAATCCATAGGTTTTCATGAAGCCAAAGTATGCCACTCCTAATGTAGCTGCCACAGCGACCATCACAACAACCATGCCCAGCAGGACACCGCACAACAATATTGAACCCACTGTCAAGATTGTCCCTACAACAAAAAAACAAATAACATATTGCATAAACTGTAACATGTTCCTTGCACAGTACAAAAAATAGGCTCTTTAATTCAGGGGTTCTCAACCCACAGGCTGCATAAGGCCCACTGATGTCCTCACGTAGGCTGCACACATTTTTGTAATACTGTATCAATCAGTATGCAAGAAAAATAATCACCACCCAAGATGGATATTTAATTTTACATAAATAACAAATCAACAAACTTGTTAATGATAAATGAGAAATATGTAAACCTGTTTACAATACACTGAACTGTTATTTTGGACACTAACCGTCACCTTGGTTATTTGTTAAAAACACAATGTTTCAGAAACTGGCTGTCTACATAATCAGGTAAAGGTAAAGGTGGGTCCCGAAGACAGCTAGTTCGGCAACGCAGAAAATTATTTCATATTAACATATACTAAATATACTGAAATCCACAGCTAAAGTTAGAATTTCTGCTTTGTATTCAGGAGATCCCATGTTCAAATCTCAGCTTATAGACTATCTATGACAGGTGTGTTACATGGTTTCCTTCAGTCCCTCCATGCAAATTGTAGGACAGCACTTTAAATTAGAACATGATCACTTTCTTCCATATACTTTCCAATTCATTAATCATTATTAATTAACCAACCTATCACCCAATGCTATATAATCTGAGCCAATGACAGTGTCAGTAAATAAACAATAAATATACACTGAACACTAAAATACGTCACACTTCACCAGTTAAAAACACTTTTCAGTGAATAAAGTGTATCATGATACAATATAACAGATGGCCCTATATATTCATGAAAAGGAAAAATCAAACAAATATTTACAGAGTGTATTAATTGGTCTATTATAAACAACTTTGTTAATAGAGACCTTGCCTTCTCAAACTTTATCTGGCTTTCTGAACTAGCATTATTTTGAAACTGATGGTGATAATGATGATAATGTGAAAATGGTATATTAACACTGGCCACATCATAAGAACGGAGCATTATTTTATGATGGAATGATGTAATTGTGTTAAGTGAACAAATATGTGGATCTCTTAACACATGTTCAACATATACTTGCTTTCAATTAAAACAAACCACTAAAAAGAAAACTGGTATTATTTCAGCATTGACCCTTACATGTCAATAAGGTTTGCTTAAATCAAAGGCAAACAAGTCAAGATGCAGAATTAATATTCTAAAGTATATATGACGTTTACTAACCTTCAATAAAAATAAATCCAGTGAATGTAAGTATCACTGTCAGAACAGCAAATACAACAAACAGCAAAACTGGAATTCCACAACACAAAACCATAGCAAAAAGAAAGAGTGCCATTATGGGATGCTTCACCAAATATACTGCTAGCATGTCCAAGAACTCATAAATATGCAGTTCTCTCATTATTTGTTGAGCAGCCAGAACAATCTGCTGCCCTATAATATATAAAAAACAATAATATTACAAATAAAGGCAATCTTAAAATATGGACAATGATGAAGTTCAGAAATAAAATATTTGTGATCATCTACTTCAGCTTTCTGTAGAAACTCAGAAATAATGTTGACAGCTCCCTGGCTATATAATTTAATGTGCTACTTAAAATCTAACTCAATAAGGGACACAGCTTGTGCCCTACTTACACTTAATTCAGTATGAGGATATCTTCAGAAAACAAAATAAATATGCAAACATGAAACAACAAAAATATCAATATCATAGTTTTAGAAAATTTGTGCATTTATTGTTAGTGGCAGGGAGACAACAAACAAGAACCATGAAATGTAAGTTATTTAGCAAAGGGATGCATCAGTAAGAACATTAACCCTTATGCCAGTTACAAGAAAATATATATTTAACTAGCATAAAGAGCATAAGATAACAAATCATTGGCCAACATAACACCACTACAACAAAGATTTTGATGTCTATCATACAACTATAAAATACTATTTTAACAAACCAGAAGAATGTTGTTTGTTTGGGGATATTTCATATATACTGGTGTAACAAAAATCAATATGTTTTTATGTGATACCTACAGCGTAAGTCAAACAAAGGCATAACCCCAAATGAACAGAATGTATTACCTCAAAATAAATGACATAATTAAATAAACATCCAAATGTTGAGGTTTTGAATTAAATACAATATGAATAAACCAGAACATGGAGAGTTACACACAGATACCTATGTAATCTGGAACACAAATGGTGCTTTAAAAATAAACATCAGTACAACATTACTTACAGAGATAAAATGAACGGCTAAAAAACCAAACCAATATTTCTGGTTTTGAAGACTGACTGGTTTCTGTTTCCGACTGTAAACAAAAATACAAGGAGCTTAAAAATTACAATATTTCCTACGTAAATTCAAAATTGCCTAATATTCAAAATTAAATGTCTTACCATTTTAAGATACGTTTCTTTCAAATAGTTTCTTCTAGTACTTATTGAAATGCACAAAACTGTATCTGTTTGCAGTTTTCTCTGTTCATTTATCACCCAAATATGAAGAGATTACAATCTATGTCACTGTCATAGTTTCAATCCATTTGAAATCTAAAACCTTGTTCAATATTCTTAAAATGTTAAGTGTCTATTATTATTTGTTGAGAAAGTAAACCACTAAATTTTACACACTTGTACCAAATTCTTATATTCGGTTCTTGCAAAGAGTATTATTTACTGCAAACTAACAATCTTACATCCTTCTTCACTATATCTGGCGACAGTGACGTTTACCATTTACAAGGACAAAATGTCACAGATAGCATCACAGATAATCAAAGGAGGGATGGGAAGGAAACGTACAGTAATGTCAAATGCAGCATGGTGGGTCTTTCTTAGTGAATACGAATTGTTTTGTTAATGCATTTACACACAACAATAAATTATGAATCCATAACTACACTATATGTTATAATTAGATACCGTGACAAAAAAGTTCTCTGTAAACATTGGCTTTCATATCACTGTCGTAATCTAGAGTTGAGGATTTTTCCTGCACCAAAACAATTATTTACATTTTTCGGGAAAGCTAGTTCGACGTAACATATAATTGAGTAATTGTTCACTTTCGTCTTCGACACTTTTAAACCACCCCTATGATCAGAATCTTGCCACATTTTACTTGGAGAATAATTCTGGTCAACTCATGTCTCATCCAAACAAAAAAGAATGGTGGGCTTTGTGCTCCTGCTTGTGGAAACTTAATGTCGTCCACTTGCGTGAGAGTGACTGGCGGATATAATATCCACCCTCTCAATAAAAAAACAATCCCATCAGGCTGTATCTTGAATCTAAACCCATTTATTTTAACCCAATATTAATTAATAACAAACCTCAGAAATTTCATTTCTCCATTAAATCTTTTCAGTGGTGGATAATATTTTTCTTCTTTTGCGTGTACCGAATAGAACAGAATTTATTTGCTTTCCGCAAACCTTTCATAAGCCAGCGTAGCTGGACGACCGGGGTTTATTCCCGATGGGGGCAGAAGATTTTTCTTCTAGCCTCTGCGTAAAGACCGGCTCTACTACCCACCCAGCCTCCTGTTCAATGGGTACCGGGGGTCCTTTCCCAGGGGCAAAGCCGGCCGGGGCGTGATGCTGACCACTCACCCCCATCTAGTGCCGAGGTCAAGAATGAGTAAGAGCTATACTAATCTTCCCCGAAGCGTCTAAATGGCGTGTAGCTGGACAGCTTTATTTACAGTCCACAGATCAGGAGAAAATCCCTGCTAGGAATTCGATATACGCGCATGCGCAAGATTTCGCGGTGAGTGACGACCCATCCTAAAAGCATTCGTTCCACAACCACTGAACGAACAACAGGCTTTCATGTGTTCTAATGGGTTCAGCTTTAAGATTACCTCACAGCGACACAGCGATTTAATCTAGAATATTATCACAACACCCGCAGAACACATTAGAGGTGAACTCACTACACGCCACTCTCAACTGCTTGATGTTTTCAGTCTGTGTGTAGTAGCGTAAAGCTCTGACGTATCACACTTCCCACCAATAGCAGCCCTCTAGTCCAGCTGATAAGTAACATCAACAGGGATTTTCTCGTCATCTGTGGACAGTACCATTCTTTGTTTCTTTAATTTTTTTTCAAATCCTTCACATCTTCTCATCAACTACAGATTTGTTAATCATGGCTTTCAAGTATATGGTTTTCAATTTGTAATCGAACTTTTCAACCGCTGTAGTATGACTTGGTTTCACATATCTGCTCTGTCTTACTTACGTACACAAGGAAATATCGTCGACTTACGCACGAAGACATCAGTTGTGATGGCCAATTGAATCCAGTCCATATTTTCACACCCTATTCACTCTAGTTTAATTTTAATATTATACTTCCAACAAATGTTTTCCAGGTTTTTAAACTGATTTTTTTCCCCTGTAATTACATTTCTGTTTATATGAGTGTTACCAGCGGTTGAGGTTTCCCATATGATTCTGGTCTTCCTGCATTGTTTTTCGGGAACCCAACACTCGAAGTATTGACTTTGTGACGTATTAGTATCCTATATTCTTCACCAGTTATTATTGGTTCTTTGCATAAAGTGCATAGCGAGTCC